CCCCCCCCCCCCCCCCAAACTAATGTAAACGTGAATAAGATGTTGAACTTTGTGCTTTGCATAGCTTCTTGTTTTTACGTCTATTTGAAGTTAGAGCAGGATTGGTGGGTTATGTATGTTTGGAGCAGAGATTTTGCTACTGCAAGTGTAAACTTCTTATATAGGGCGGCAATGATGCTTTTTCGGTGCCAACTTGGATGGATGTTGAAAATGTTGTTAGTTTGTATTAGAGAAATGAATAGTGATTAGTATAAAACAAGTAGTCTTCAATATTTTGTTGCAAAGATTTGAGATCATAGTTTTAACATTTGGATTTTAAAGAATTGAGAGCATAAAATTTGGTCACTTGTACAATGATAAAATCATCATAACAATCCCGAGCTAAGAATTTTTCTTTTCTTTTCTGTGCATTTCTTGAAAATTTCTTCCGTTTGTTTGATAGCAACAATACAAATATATTAGTAATGCCTGACAAAATTGATCAATAAGTTAGTAATTAGTATCATGACGTCCTTGTACGAAGTGATGGGGAAATTGGTGTCTCTTGAATTTCTAATTTTAGTTCTCTTGACCTTAATACGAGAACTAAAATTAGAAATTTAGAAGGTAGAAAGATAGTAAGCAGATCTTTTTTAATGGAGAGTAAGATAATTAAATTTTTCATGATTACAGGAGAAGGTGACTGACCCTTTAACAATATGAGAGAATGCAATGTAAAGCCGTTAGACTAGAATGATGAAGCGCTTGCAATGCAATTGTAATTTTGGTTCGTCAAAAAGATACCTGAAAATTTAAAATATATCGGTCAGCCAAAACGAATACTGAAAATTAGAATAACAAACCGAAAAATGTGGCGTACCATATAAAAAATGAATCAAATCGAGCTATTTTGATTCGAATTGAACTGTATACTTGCTATTCTAAGTTCTAACAATCAAATTATTATAAACTAAAAAACCAATGCACAGCCCATCTAATGACTTTTTATAAATTCTCTTGAGATCCCTAATATAAAATTTGTTTTAGTTGGTCAGTCATCAACGCTTTGCCCTTCAACCAATTTAACTGTTGACTAAACATTTGTAGGAACATTGCACTTTAGGGCGATTTCTCATATAGTGCAAGTATAAATTATGTCCCTGCTCTTTTTTTTTNCGGTAAAAGATGCCTTGTTGCGTGGCACAACAAAATGGTGACATGTGGTGATAGTGGTTTTGGACCCATGAGCACGGAAATCAAGACCTGAGAGCAAAAGAACAGTAACTGGAATCACTTGTTCAATATGAAACAAGAGCAAACCGGAAGAATACACGCCCGGAGTAGATCAAATACTTTTGGTACTGAACTCAACTGTATCAGGAACCCTTCCGAGATTATGGTCTCCGTCTGTTGCGCAATTATGGTTGTCGTTGGAGAGGATCTCACCACCCCACTAATCGCATACTTGGTATGCATGCTAGTGGTGAGTAACTCCATTTTGAATCAAGAGGTTGTAAGTTCGAGTCACCCCAAGAGCAAGATGGACATTTTTTGGAGGGAGGGAGCCGAGGGTCTATCGGAAACAACCTCTCTACCCTAGAGCAGGGGTAAGGTCTGTGTACACACTACCCTCCCCATACCTCACTAGTAAAATTATACTGGGTTGTTGTTGTTGGTATGGAGACTAAGGACTCAAAATTCATTCTCATCCCCTCTAACCTATAAATACCTTATTCTACACATTTGTCAAGGATATCTGATGACACATAACATTGTATGATCATTCATTGTGTTCTATTATGTTCATTAGCAAGATTATCTTTCTCTCTTGCTAAGATGTATTCCATTTTAACACAGCCACTTCAAAGGCCAACGATCAATAAGATTTTTTTAATCTTAATCTTCGTTCTATTTATCATTATTGTTCTTAGATTGACTATACACACTTTGGATTAATTTGTCTGCTATGAGTGTATATAGATCGGATTGGTTCGGGTTTTTTAATTACCAAATCAAATCAATGGTGTTGGGTTTTTAAATTTATAAACCAAACCAAACCAATAAAGTTGGGTTTTTCAATCTCGTTTTTTCTCGGGTTTTTCAGTTTTTTGGGGTTTTCGAATTTTTTCCGGTAAAGTGTTCATAGCACAAAATATGTAACTTGTGCTCCAAATATTTATTTTAGTCCTAGTAGGATACAACTATATAATGTATTTTTCAAGAAAATATAATAATAATAATAATAATAATAATAATAATAATAATAATAATAATAATAATAATAATAATAATAATAATAATAATAATATGAGATGAGTCATAATATTGTACTAAAATATTCAATAACAAAGATAATAAAATCGCACAAAGAAAATATTACTAATTAATTCACCATAATAAAAATTTACATAATCTAAAAATACTATATATGTCATGCTAAAATACGTACAACTAATAAGTACTATTAATTACACAACTAAGCATTAAAGAAAAAGATAAACTAGGTTATATATTTTTGTTATAAACCAATACAAAACTAAAAAATAAATATCCAACACATTTGTCATTCCTAGTGTTGAATTGAATTTCCTTTATTAGCATTAGTATTGATTTGAACTTTATTTGACTTACTACCTTTATGGGCTATAAAATTTATTGGACCATTTAAGAATATTAAGTCCAAATTTTAAATAATACGTTTAAAGATAAAACTGTGAACAAGTTTAAGAAATATTTATAAATTATATTACAATAAATATTTATATGTATAAAATATTTTTAAAAATTGTATAAATATATTGTCGGGTTGGTTTGGTTTCGGTTTGACTTTTTTTAGTTAAAACCAAACCAAATTATGGTTTTATTTTCAACACCAAACCACAATCGGTTTTTTTTTTCTCCGGTTTAACTCGAATTATCAGGTTGGTACGGCTTATCGATTTTCTTTGTACACCCCAACTGTCTGCTAGTCGCTTTAAAATATAAATTCAATTATTTATCCTAAAATCAGTTTTTGGGTTAAATAATTTGGCGCTTCCTAGGTCCAAGCAATTGGGCGTTTAATCCAAAGTAGTATTACTAAATTTCAATTTTCTATTATTCTCACTTATTCAAGGGAAATACCATGTCTAGAATCAATAACCAACCCGTAGGCAACTAGCGGAGCAAACCGGAGGAACATGGACCTCAAATGATCAATCAACTGGGACCTAGCCAATAGCCATCTCGTTAGAGTGAAAATTCCCTTGCAAGATCTGCTAGCAGGGGTAATGAACGACATAGGTTGGAGGAGACGGTGAAAGAATTCATGACATAGTAACAACAGCTGAATGCTCAAATCGGAAAGGTATTGAGGGCCCTGACAAGTGGTGCAACAGCTACAATGCTAACCCCACCTCCGATGGGTCTCGGAGTACATCGATATGGAAACTCCCAACTCTAAACTGAGGAATACGGTAACAGGGGAACTCCATTTTAAGTTGATAGTTGGAGATCATTATACCTTTCAACTTGGAAATGAATACTGCTATTACATTCCTTATTTTTCTAATGATAATCAAAGTCAAAAGTCAATGATCTTTTAGTTCTTATATGGCCTAGGATTTACTTCCGAGAAGCCTGGCCAAGTCAATGTATGTCTCTTTTCTTGCTGGATATTTCCGCTCAGTACGCTTTGAATTATAGGAAACTCATGGGTATGCATTTGTTGTCAATTAGTCATCCCCTTTAGTCTTTGACCTTCCACACATCAATCTTTAATATTTCAAATATAATCAGGAAAGGATAGTGTAACGACCCGATCGTTTGTTTTATGTATTTGAGTCCAGTTTCCCCTTTTGAAGTTTTCCGTATGTTTATTTGTAGTTTTATAACTTGCGGGGATGGTTAGTTTCAATTCGGGAAAATTTTGAAATGATTTGGACCCTTTGGTTCTTGGTTTAGAAGCTTAAGTTGGAAATGTTGACCGATGTTTGACTTTTGTGAAAATGACTTCGGAACGGTATTTTGATGAATCTGTTAGGTCTGTATCGTGATTTTGGACTTAGGCGTATTCCCGGAATTGAATTCGAAGATCCCTAGGTTGATTTGACTTGTTTTGCCGAAAGTTGGCAATTTGAGGTTTAAAAATTTTCTTAAGTTTGACCGTAGGTTGATTTTATGACTATCGGGTTCGGATTTTAGTTTGGGGACTTGGAATAGGTATGTTTTTCTATTTGGAGCTTGCCTGTAAAATTTGGTGTAATTCAGAGTTGGTTTGATAAGATTCAGACGCTTGGTTGTGATTGTAGTGATTCTTGAGTTTTCTTTTGAATTCCATACGTTTTGATGTATGATTCGTGATTTCGGATGTTATTTTGATGTTTAGATCACACGAGCGAGTTCGTATGATATTTTTAGACTTGTGTGGATGTTTGGTGTAGAGCCCCAGGGACTCGGGTGAGTTTTGAACGTGTTTTAGAATGGTTTGAGCTGGTTTCAGATTTGCTGGCGTGCTGGTGCTCCAGTTATCGCAATTGCGATCTTAGGTTGGGTAGGTCGCATTTGTGACCATTTGGTCGCATTTGCGAATAGGGCAGACTTCACATTTGCGAGGTCGGTGTAGCAATTGCGACATCCCTCTAGGTTGTTAGGTGCCACATTTGCGAGTCCTTCTTCACATTTGTCAGTGTTCGCAATTGCAAACCCAGTGTCGTAATTGCGACTTCTGCACGTGAGCAAAAGGGTTGGGAAGACGGGATTTAGTCTCATTTTTCATATTTTAGAACCCAAGATTCGGTAGGAGGCGATTTGGAGATGGAATTTTCACATACAACTATTGGGTAAGTGATTTTGATCAATTTTCAATATTCTATATTGAAAAGGCTTGTTGATTTGAATGGTTATTATGTTTCCTTCATTCGTTTTACTTGTATTTTTACGGTACTTGATCACTTGTTCTTATCATATGTTCACTCTTTGTTGTCCTTTATTGCCTTAATTTTCGTTGTTAGCCTTACATCATTATACTGTTTTGTTGTCATTTATTTCTTTGCTTCATGTTATTAGATTGCCGAGGTTAGGCTTGATACTTATTGGGTACCGTTGTGGTGTACTCATACTACACTTTTGTATATTTTTGTGCAGATCCAGGTACTCTTGCTCGTGCCGGACGCCGGTGAGTTGACTCATAATTTGTGGAGATTTCAAGGTATACCTGCCTGATACTCACAGGCCTTGTAGTCACCTTCTAGAGATCTTATGCTATTGTTTCTTTTGTTTTTGAACAATATTGTATTAGAGATTCTTCGTGCATTTTTCAGTAGAGCTTATGACTCAGTTCCATTGGTTTTGGGGATAACTTGACTGTAGTTTCGTTTTGGCATATTATGACATTTTATCATATTAATTTAATATCTAATTTATTATTTTTGTTAAATTATCAATGTGTGTTAGACTTAACTAGTTTTAGAAATTAGATGTCATCACGATATTCTAAGGTGGGGATTTGGGGTCGTGACAGACGGACATTGCACTTTGCCGTTGACTTTGAACAGGTATGACGTATGGGACTAATTAACTGTTTCATACTTCAAAAACTCAGTCTTCAAATGAAGTCACTGTTTTGCTTCTATTCAAAAGTTGAAGATAGTGTTGCAAGCTTGAGTAGGGAAATACTCACAATACAAGTAACTAAGAGGCGACAAAGAAGCTGCTAGAACACTTGTACAGAAATATGGTGCGATGACACCACCACTGAAACACGCACTGAAAAAGCTAAAAAATATAAGCGGTATAAATCCGAAGTTGTGCTTAGCTATCAGCAGTAGCTATTCCAGGAATTGAATGTCGAGTTTAATTTGCAATTGGTCTAGCTATAAGTACCTCTTTAATTTTTGTCTAATTTCTGACGCTCAAGCCTGAGGTGCATGCCACTTGTACCTAGAGTATATATATATATTAGTTTCATTATCTTAATATATACTATGGTGTTAACGCGTGGAAATTAGACCTAGATGGACATTTGGTTTGCTGATGGAACATCATGTTTTGTGCATTAATTAAGAACAACCGTATCTATCAAAAGAAAACATGACCTTAATTACCATTTGAGTTGTTTGACCAATAAATATAAACTTTTGATTAAACTAATTAATTTTATATAAAAAGGGATTAAACCTCGTTAATAATAATATCCCCAGACTTATAACTAGTCAACTCAAATAAAATCGGACAGTGTTGGTAGAGGATTAAATGTTGTATACATTCAATGTTTCAAGATCATTAATGATGGAAGAATTTCAAACAATAAATAATAATAAATGGCATTAACGTAAAGAAAGAGAATGATTCACCCAATATTGAATGGGGTGGATGATTTCTCCTTCTCATAGTGATGAGTGATAGGCAAATGCTATAATATTGGAACTATTCTCGGATCTGATGAAAAAGTGTGGAATAATAGATAATCGAATCTTCTCAGAAAGGTAGTGTTTGTATCTTTTCTAGAGAGAAAGTCTTCTTCTCAAAAAGTGTTCTTATTAGAGAATGTTACATGCCCTTTTTCCCCTATCTCTTTTTCTATTTATATGGGACATACGCTAGTCAACCCTAAAAGTACAAATACCAAGAATATTCAATGGAATATTCTCTTGAATATCCTATTACAAAAACTAGCCGTTAGCACTGCCCTTGATACTCGACCTCGGCCGTTATTGATTGCTCGGCTACGAGTCCCGTTATCTACTAGTCGACCTCGACCATATCATTTTTCATGATATCGCTCCATGCTAAATCCCACTGAGGCAGATTTTGACCTATACAGTTAATCCCTCCACTTAATGATGTCGATCTTGGGCAACCTCGATGAGTGGACTCTGTTAGTTAGGGTTGAGAAGTTTTATGCGAGCAGGTCGAGTAGTAGCGCTTTAGACGGGATGAAAATGTGGCCTTCCGTGAGATGCAACCTAAGGTCACATCGTTTCAGAGTGACGTCATGTCATCATGCGTCATTATTACGCATTTTTTCGATACCCTGTATCGTTTCTCGCGCCTCTGCCGTTTCAATTCTTGAGCTGGGTAACAACAATTTTCTTCTTCGATATTGATGCCCTAACTCTTATAAATAGGGATACTCAATCTTTCGATTCAGTCTTTGCATTCTAAAAATCGAATTTTCATATCTTCTTCTTCCTTCCTCAATCAGAATCTTTGTTTTCTTGACCTTACTTCATACTCCCGCCTTCACTGATTTTGGTGGCTCCTGCTACTCTTCATACTGTCATACCCATTTTTTCACCTTACTGACCCTCTTTAAAAATATAAAGAAGATTTTTAAGCTCAAAAGAGTTTTCAATTTGAAAATGACAAAAAAATTACGTTTCAAAGGATTTTTTGAGTCGCCACCTGACATTTGGTTTCGGTGTGCCAGGTCACCATTTTTAAAATAATAATTTTCCTTCACACATTTGACTCTTAAACCAGTTTGCACAAGAAATTCTAGATAAGGGGGTTCATTTAACTCGGGGAGAAGGTGTTAGGCATTCCCCGAGTCCCGTAACTAGTACGGTTGTGTACATGATCAAGTTGGCTTTTAAAAATATTCTAATTGAGGTAGAAACACACAAAGAGCAAGAATAAACACAGAAGAGGCTCGAGGTTGTCCCCGCCTAATAAAAAAATAAAAAAATAAAAATTAAAATCTCAAGCTAACCTACATTATACTTCCTCTACAGTGTAGTCTCGGCCTCCGTTTACATTCACTTCGGGGCATACCCCGGGTAATAATAATATATACAAACTCTACGAGGCATTCCCCTGAATATAAAGTAAAGAGAACAACCTCTTACCTCGACAAAATGAAAAGAAGCGACCTATGATTTGCCTACTCGAGTGTTAGCGGACCTAAAGATACTACTGTCGACTCAATAGAATAAAATAATAACAATTGAAATAATCTTAAGCCCAAATGCCATTAATTTTAATCCCCAACAACCCACATTCTCAAATCCTTCTTTTCAATTTGCAGTACCCCAAACCCCACGGCCACTTAACTCATTAACTGCTAATCCATCTTAATTGCTTAGTGAGAAAATCAATTTTGACATCAAATAGATAAAGCAAAGAAGCCAAAGCATCAATTAATATCCAAATCAAGACAAGTAAGCAGAGAGTCTCATGAATCAATTTCAATACCAAATAAAGCAAATAAGAGACTGCAGGTTAAAGAGGTACGAGCGGACCTTATAGCAGCAAAAATAGATTTTCTTTTTTCCTTGATACTTTGAAAAAATATACAAGGACCTCCGGCCAAAATCGAATAAATCACAACACGAACAGGGATGGAAAACAACAACAGCAGCAACAGAAAATTACTCTGCAAACCTCGAACCTCGGACGGCAACCTCGACTGGGCAGCAATCGAACTCCAAAATTGAGACCGCAAACAGCAAACCAACCCAAATTTCAACTGAACTCCATGATTGAAAACCACCAATGAAAACTGAAATATGTTTTGTGTATTTTCGAGTTTGAAATTAGATTGGACTTAATTCTTTTTTATATATATCAAAGAACTAAATGAAAAATCAGAAAAGAGAGAATCAGAAACAAAAACCAAGCCTTAGTTTCTCTTTTCCATTTTTCGTTTCCCCACGTCTTAGTTTTAGCCTAAAGAAAATCGATCCCTTTTCCCCTAATGTCCCCCTTTTCATCTCTTTCCCTCTCTATCTGTGTGCGTTTGTCCTTTGCTCAAGTCAGGGAGATCGGAAAATCAGAGAGGACCGCCGATTTTTTTAGGAAGATGAGGGGGTCTGGCCGTTTTTCTTCTTGGGAGTGGTCTGCCGCTGGCTCTAGAGTTAGTTCTCTTTTAGAATGGAGGAGTTCTAGGGTGTTATATCTGATGGGGTATGTGGGATGAGGGAATGAGCCGTCCACTTTGGGCCTTTTTGGCCAGATTTGTGTTTAAAATGGGCCTAATTAACCAAAAATCTATCCACTCCACATCAACTCTTGCCTATTAAATAAAAAATAAAGATAAAATACTACAAAAATATTAATTAGCCCTACTTAAGTAGAAATAACTATTAAAATAAAACTAGTCGTTAAAACAAAACTATTTTTGGTATCTTTCAAATATCATACTAAAAATAAAAATATGATTAGGTTAAAATCATCATAAAATTAAAATAATATTTCTACCAAAAATACTAATATTCTTGAAAAAGATATGTAATGAGGTAAAAAACAAAGTGAAACTATTTTTTATGTTTTCGATTTTTATGTTCTACTATTAGATTAAAAGTAAAAAATAGGCTAAATCCTATCAAATTAAAAATAAGTAAATATTTTAAAAATACTACTTTTAAAAGTTGCGCGGGTCAAAAATTACGTGTTTACAGCTGCCCCTCTTTGCTCGGAAACTCGAAGAGTTTTTTGAGCAAAGAACTATAAGCAATGTAATTGATTTATGACCCGACGCTTATTCAAAACGAAACAAAGATGGACAAGAGATTGTGACCGAGCCCTGGTATTTGAGCTGCCTATATATCTTTGGTTATAAAGGAATCAGGCCACGTGTAGTTCAAAAGTGAGAAGAGTGATGGAGTATACCGAGGTGGAGAGCCGATTGAAGTGCCGTCGAGGTTCCGGTCCGAGGTTCCTGCCATTACATAAAAAATAAAAGGAAAAATTACATCAAAAATAAAAGAAAAATACAAGATCCTATCTACTTCTTGTCTCGAATCTTCCTTGAATATCCACTTGATCCTTCAATCATGAAACTCAAAATTCAACCCCATTCTTCAGGTGGGCATCCTGTTGACTTGAATCTGAAGAAAATTAGAAGTTGACCCTATTCTTCAGGCGGGCACCCTGTTGCTTGCACTTGAAATAAACTTGAACTTGCGGTAGACTTGAGCTTGCAAACATTGTCCTTCAGGCGGCTCGTGCTACTTCTGATTTGACTTGAAAAAATTGGAGGTTAACCCTATTCTTCAGGCGGGATCCTGCTGCCTCTGACTTGAACTTGAAAACTTAAAGTTGACCCTATTCTTCAGGCGGGATCCTGATGCCTTTTTGACTTGAACTTGTAAACTAAAAATTGACCTTGTTCTTCAGGCAGGCTCCTGATGCTTCTATACCTTGAACTTGAAAATTGAAAGTTGACCATGTTCTTCAGGCGGGCTCCTGATTCTTCTTGAACTTGAAAATTGAAAGTTGACCCTGTTCTTCAGGCGCGCTCCTGATGCCTCTCTAACTTGAAATTTTAAACTGAAAATTGACCCTGTTCTTCAGGCGGGATTCTCCTGATGCTTCTCTAACTTGAACTTGAAAACTGA